GGCTGAGGCCGAGGCTGAAGGCAGACTGAGGCTGAGGCTGAAGCAGGCTGAGGCTGAGGCTGAGGCAGGCTGAGGCTGAGGCTGAGGCAGGGCTGATGCTGAGGCAGGCTGAGGCTGAGGCTGAGGCTGAGGCTGAGGCTGAGGCTGAGGCAGGCTGAGGCTGAGGCCGAGGCTGAAGGCAGACTGAGGCTGAGGCTGAAGCAGGCTGAGGCTGAGGCTGAGGCTGAGGCTGAGGCTGAGGCTGAGGCAGGCTGAGGCTGAGGCAGGCTGAGCTGAGGCTGAGGCTGAGGCTGAGGCAGGCTGAGGCTGAGGCAGGCTGAGGCTGAGGCCGAGGCTGAAGGCAGACTGAGGCTGAGGCTGAAGCAGGCTGAGGCTGAGGCTGAGGCAGGCTGAGGCTGAGGCTGAGGCAGGCTGAGGCTGAGGCAGGCTGAGGCTGAGGCTGAGGCTGAGGCTGCAGGCTGAGGCTGAGGCAGGCTGAGGCTGAGGCCGAGGCTGAAGGCAGACTGAGGCTGAGGCTGAAGCAGGCTGAGGCTGAGGCTGAGGCAGGCTGAGGCTGAGGCTGAGGCAGGCTGATGCTGAGGCAGGCTGAGGCTGAGGCTGAGGCTGATGCAGGCTGAGGCTGAGGCAGGCTGAGGCTGAGGCCGAGGCTGAAGGCAGACTGAGGCTGAGGCTGAAGCAGGCTGAGGCTGAGGCTGAGGCAGGCTGAGGCTGAGGCTGAGGCAGGCTGAGGCTGAGGCTGAGGCAGGCTGAGGCTGAGGCTGAGGCTGATGCAGGCTGAGGCTGAGGCAGGCTGAGGCTGAGGCTGAGGCTGAGGCTGAGCAGCTGAGGCTGAGGCTGAGGCTGAGGCTGAGGCTGAGCAGGAGGCAGGCTGAGGCTGAGGCAGGCTGAGGCTGAGGCTGAGGCTGAGGCTGATGAGGCTGAGGCTGAGGCTGAGGCTGAGGCTGAGGCTGAGGCTGAGGCTGAGGCAGGCTGAGGCTGAGGCTGAGGCAGGCTGAGGCTGAGGCTGAGGCAGGCTGAGGCTGAGGCTGATGCTGAGGCAGGCTGAGGCTGAGGCTGAGGCTGATGCAGGCTGAGGCTGAGGCAGGCTGAGGCTGAGGCCGAGGCTGAGGCAGACTGAGGCTGAGGCTGAAGCAGCTGAGGCTGAGGCTGAGGCAGGCTGAGGCTGAGGCAGGCTGAGGCTGAGGCTGAGGCTGAGGCTGAGGCTGAGGCTGAAGGCTGAGATGAGGCTGAGGCACTGATGAGGCTGAGGCTGTGACTGAACTGCGACTGCCGTTGCCACTGCGACTGTCATCGCGAATGCGACTACGACTGCGAGAACAGCAGAATTCTACAACTGGATTCTCATCTGAATCTTGAGGGGAATGCTTCCAGATATGCTCCTACACATCGCTGTTAGGTTGCTTTGCCGGGATAATGTTCTTGCATCTGCCCTCCGGATGTCTCTGTTTCGGCACACCCAGTGCAGCGTTGCATGGCCCCATAGGGAGCCCCTCAGAAGGCCCCAGTGGCCGGGTTCGCATGGCGCCCTCGAACCCATCTCGGCACATCCCTCACGCGCTTCGTGGCCCCATAGGGAGCTCCACCGAAAGCCCCAGTAGCAAGGTTCGTATGACGCCACCGCACCCATTTCGGTTCATCCTTCACACGCTTCGTTGCCCCATCGGGAGCTCCACCGAGGTCCCCAGTGGCAGGGTTCGCATGGCGCCACCGCACCCATGTCGGCACACCCCTCACGCGATTCGTGGCCCCATAGGGAGCTCCACCGAAGGCCCCACTGGCAGGGTTCGCATGGCGCCACCGCACCCATTTCGGCACATCCCTCACACGCTTCATGGCCCCGCCGGGAGCACCACCGAAAGCCCCAGTAGCAAAGTTCGCATGGCGCCACCGCGCTCATTCTGGCACACCCCTCACGCGCTTCGTGGCCCCATAGGGAGCTCCGCCGAGGGCCCCAGTGGCAGGGTTCGCATGGCGCCCCCGCACCCATGTCGGCACACCCCTCACGCGCTTCGTGGCCCCATAGGGCGCTCCACCGAAAGCTCCACTAGCAAGGTCCGCATGGCGCCACCGCGCCCACTTCGGCACACCACTCACACGCTTCAGCTCCACCGAGGGCCCCCGTGGCAGGGTTCGCATGGCGCCACCGCGCCCACTTCGGCACACCACTCACGCGCTTCGCGGCCCCACAGGGAGCTCCACCGAGGGCCCCAGTGGCAGGGTTCGCATGGCGCAGCCGCGCTCATTTTGGTACACCCCTCACACGTTCCGTGGCCCCCATCGGGAGCTCCACCGAGGGCCCCAGTGGCAGGGTTCGCATAGCGCCACTGCACCCAGTCCGGCACATCCCTCACACGCTTCATGGCCCCGCCAGGAGCACCACCGAAAGCCCCAGTAGCAAGCTTCGCATGGCGCCACCGCACCCATGTCGACACACCCCTCACGCGCTTCGTGGCCCCATAGGGCGCTCCACCGAGAACCCCAGCGGCAGGGTTCGCATGGCGCCACCGCGCTCATTCCGGCACACCTTTTCACACGTTTCGTGACAGGGAGCTCCACCGAGGGCCGCAGTGGCATGGTCCGCATGGCGCCACCGCGCCCGTTTAGGCACACCCCTCACACATTTCGTGGCCCCACAGGGAGCTCCACCGAGGGCCCCAGTGGCAGGGTTCGCATGGCGCCACCGCGCTCATTCCGGCACACCTTGACACACGTTTCGTGGCAGGGAGTTCCACCGAGGGCCCCCGTGGCAGTGTTCGCATGATGCCACCGCGTCCGTTTCGGCACACCACCCACGCGTTTCGTGGCCCCACAGGGAGCTCCACCGAGGGCCTCAGTGGCAGGGTTCGCATGGCGCCACCACGCTGATTTCGGCACACCCCTCACACGTTCCGTGGCCGCTGAGGGAGCTCCACCGAGGGCCCCAGTGGCAGGGTTCGCATGGCGCCACCGCACCCATGTTGGCACTACCCTCACACGTTTCGTGGCCCCACAGGGAGCGTGGCCCCACAGGGAGCTCCACTGAAGGCGGGGCGCAGAACTGCGGTTATCCAAATTGCATATGCTTGGGCCCTTCGCCTGATTTGTTTCGCTAATGTCAGTAAGGGGTCACCAAATGGTTGCCCTGGTCCCCGAGTTACAACAACAACAACAACAACAACAACAACCGATCCCGCCGGATACTTCCTCGCAATGTATTCCCGAATCGCACTCTCGCGCGAGAGCTCCTCACAAGTTATGGAGGGATCGCGCTCTTGCGTGGTACTTCCTCGCAAGTTATTCAGACTTCGCGCCTCCAACCCTTAGGAATCATGCTGTCGGCCAGGCCTTTCTAATGATTTATTTGGGGATCGCGCTATCGCTCGAGACTTCCTTGTGGTTCATGTTCGCGCTTCGGCAACCCGAATGCTCGACCTGGCCGCCTGGGCCCGCCTTCCTGACCCGTCTGTTAGGGGTCTACCCGCCCGATCTGCCCGTCTGGTTCTGCCACGTGCGTTTTGCTCCTAGCCCCCCCCCTGCTAAGCTCTCTCGTGCTCCATCCTCCTCCCTCCCGCAAAAATGCAATGTTTACCGAAGGGGGGGATCAACAATAATTATTCGTTGGAGATGAGAATTCAACCTGATACTTGCCCACAGTTTGTTTTAATCCGCGCTCTCGCACGGGATTCCCGCAGGATGTATGCAAAAATCGCGCACTCGCGTGGCCCTGGCCCTTCCTTCGATTTGTTGCGGCGCCGTGCCCCCAAGCCTTGGAAATCATGCTCTCGCTTTGGATTTCTGCACGATTTGCTTGGAAATCGCGCCATCGCCCGAAGCTTCCTTGCGATTCCTGTTGGATTGGCGCTTCAGCGACCCGCCCGCTCGACCTGGCCGTCTGAGCCCGCCCGCCCGCCCTGCCCATTGGGGTTCGCCCGCCTGACCCGCCCGTCTGGCTCTGCCGCTTGCATTCTTGCTTCGCCACCCACCAAACCACCCCAACCCAACCCGAAGGCCTCAAGTTGCCCTCCATTTCCAGTGTGGGGGGGTCGGGGAACATCGAGAAAACACATATGGAACCCGTCCCCCCCCCAACCCGAAATTCGGGTCTTCGGGTTGGGTTGGGGTGGTCTGGTAGGTAGTCATTGCTTCGGGCCCTCTCCTGCAGATCTCTCGCATGCTCAATCCCTCTCCCTGCCCCTTGTCTCCTCCCTCCTCCGCTCCCCTGTTTTAGTCGACTCGTCGTACTCGACGTAAGAGTGACCTTTCGCCGGAGTGACCTTTGGTGCGGGCACAGAGGGGCCCTCAGATGGCTGAAAACGAAGCGGTAGCAGCGGTTTGCGCGCCCAGGTTTGGTCCCCCCGCGGCCCCCACAAAGCCGCGCACCAAAGGTCACTCTTACCCAGGGTCACTCCTGTCCCTTGTCTCCTTCCTTCTCCGCTCCCCTGTCTTAGTCAGGAGGGGAAACAACACACAGACACAATGAATCGTCGATTCCCAGGGAAATGCGGAAAAAAATTGGAAGTGGGGGGGACGACGGACACATAGAAAATATTGGAAAATATTGGGAATCCTTTTATTTGTGTGTATTTATGTGTGTCTCAGGGCCCCTTCATTTAGGTGCTGCGCCAATGACACGTAGCAGGTCAGGAAGATAACACCCCCAGGGGCGATTGAAGACGAAGAGGGCGGGTGTCGAGGGTGTACGTTGCCCATGTTGAAGCACACGCGAGCCGACAAGAACGAACAGTCTTAACGTGATCGTTGTTGTCGTCTTCGTGTGCGCTCGGAGACTTCCCATCCATCTCGTGATGTTGAATGCTCCCGGTCAAATCGGAAGCCTTTCGGAGGTCGACGTCGTCGTTGCCATTGCCGTCGCCGTCGTCCTCGTCGTCGCCGTCGTCCTCTTCGTCGTCGTCGTCGTCATCGTCGTCCTCGTCGACCTCGCCGTCGTCGCCGTCAATGACGTCGTCCGCGTCGTCGTCGTCGTCGTCGTCGTCGTCGTCGTCGTCGTCGTCGTCCTGCAGGCGGTGTGCTGCTTCGACTTCCGCAGGTACGTGCGCGGGCCCGCACGGCCCAGGCCAGCGGTCGGGCGAGAACCTTCGGACAGGAGGAGAAGGAGGAGGAGGCGGAGGAGGAGGAGGACGAGGAGGAGGAGGAGGAGGAGGAGGAGGAGGAGGAGGAGGAGGAGGAGGAGGAGGGGGAGGAGGAGGGGGGAGGGGGAGGAGGAGGAGGAGGAGGAGGAGGAGGAGGAGGAGGAGGAGGAGGAGGAGGAGGAGGAGGGGGAGGAGGCGAGCTTCTCGCACGTGCTCCCGGCGAGCTTCTCGCACGTGCTCCCGGACTCCTGGTGTTGTGATGTTCCAACCTATTTTAGCTTTGACCACCAGAAAGAATCTCGAGCACCAGGACAGCACCGAAGCTGGAGGGTTGTCACGCGTCGGGCCCTGGGAGGCGATACTCGTTCGATACTGTTTCGATGCGTTTCTGGGTGCTCGAAGTTATTTCTGGGACGTGGTCCTCAAGCCAACGGGAGCAACAGAATCCTGGTGGGCTGCTTACTTCACTCCTCGGAGAACAAAAAGCGGCATAAAAATGCAAGCGTTCGGAGGTCCGCGCAGATTTCCAAGCTCGGCGCCGGGTGCCCCCCTGGCGGCGCCTCCGGTGCCGCCCCTGGCGCGCGCGGCGCCTCCGGCGCCGCCCCTGGCGCGCTCCGCGCGCCAGGGAGGAGGGTCCAGCGCGGATCCGAGAAATCCGCCCGGACCTCAGTGTTTTTATGCTTATGCCACTTTTTGTTCCCGTACTCTTGTTTCCTCTACAGACTTTTGGTGCACAGCTTGTTTCATGTTTGGCACTCGCCCTGGTCGAGGGCCGCTTTTGGGCCTCAGGGCCATCAGTACTGACCCCAGTCGAGGACCTCTGGGGCCCGCGGATTGGAGAATCAAACCGTCGAAGGTCTGGGCTCTGGCGGCTCGTGAGAGTCCGTGAGAGTTCAGGCGGGAGCTGGAGCAGAAGGAGGGGGAGAGAACCGTCCAAGCAGGCCACCCCTCTCCAGGCGCAAAATGAAACAGATCGTGTGAGCGAGTCAAACTCGACTCGTCCTTGGCCTGAGGGGAATCAGATTGGGGATTTCAGTGCCCTTTTCGGTCCTCGGGGTTGCCGACCCCGACCGCGGCCCCAGGCTGCTGGACTCACTCGCGCCCCTCCTTGTCCTGATGCTGATCTCGGTGCTTTACAACGCCTTCGTGTTCTCGTACATGCCAGCGGCCGGGATCGCGTTCTCGAGCCCAACGAGCATGGTACGCGTCCTCCTCCTCCTCCTCCTCCTGTTTCGGCCTGGGCTGGCCCTCTGGAGGCCTCCGAAGGCCTCCGTGATCCTTCCGGGGACCTCCGATGATTCCGGAGACCTCACGGGGAGGGATGGTAGCGGCGAGGTGTTCCATGCGTTCATTTTCCTGGCGCTGTCCAGCTACGTGCAGGCGGCGCGGACGGACCCCGGAGGCGTTCCCGTGACGAAGGAGTGGCGATCTTACGGCCAGCCTCCGCCGCACGTGCGCGAGCGGAAGCGCGGGACAGACCAGGCACGTTGGTGCCAGAAGTCGGAAGTTTACAAGCCCGACAGGGCTCACTACAGTACGGCCATGCAGCGTGTTGTTCTCAAGTATGACCACCATTGCCCATGGCTGGGGACGTCGATCGGCTTCCAGAACTACAAGTTCTTCTTCCTGTTCATGCTCTATGCGTCGGGCGCGTGTGCAACCTTCAATGTGAACATCATCCAGCTGCTCGTCCACGCGACCCTGCCTGCCCTGGACACGTTTGTGCTGCTCGGCGCAGAGAGCTTGACACTCGTCCTCACCTCGATCCTCGTGCCATTCACCCTGTTCCACGCGTGGCTCATATCTCACAACATGACAACCTGCGAGTTCTACGAAGAGCGGGACGCCAACACAGAGGAGGGCTCGAGCGAAACGGTGTTTGGCGAGTTCGTTGACCTCTTTCGTTTTGATCTCGTTTTGCAGCAAAGGCGGAATGAGGTCAGAACGAGGGAGAACGAACACAAGACGAAGACGACCGAACACGGCTTAGCTCGAGCCCTGAAACGGAGGAGCCATACCCGTACGACCGGGGGCTCTTCAGCAACGTCTGCTCCTCCTTGGGCGCCAACCCGCTGCTGTGGCCATTCCCTGTCGTGGGGCCGCCGGGCGACGGCCTGTCCTTCCAGAGGGCCTCCGACTGGGTCGTCCATGGCCCGCCCAGCCACGACGGCCCGGAGAGCGAAAGAGCTCACACACTACGGATAGGAACTTTGGCTTGGCTCGTCGCGCCGCCGGGTCTGGCCCACCACTCCTTGACGCGACGCGCTATCCACGTCCTGGACCCCAGGCGTCAACGCCCCCAGCTTCCCCCGAGCCACCCGCCCCGCGGAGCGGAGCGACACACTGTCCGCCTGCAGAGCGTAGCGTGTCGAGGGGGCCGCCACCGCGACACTTTGAGCCACAGTCCCTGACCGTAGCCCACCCCCGGACCCTCCTCCGTTCTCCCCCCGGCACTTCTTTACCCCCCGCCTTACGGGAGCGGCCCATGAGGAGGCGGCCTTTTGAGGCCACCTGGATCCAGATGTCTGCTGTGCGCGATCTGGTGTAGCTACTGCTTGCTTGCTAGCTTGCGCTTCTCACCCAGACCCCCAGCGGGCATCCCTCCTCAGCCACGGCGCTCCTGCTCGATCTCGGCACCTCGGGCGGTCCGCCCCCGGCCCCCGCTGCATGGGCCGTCGGAGCACGGCCGTGGACGAGAAGCCGGGGGAGGGGGCCCGAGATCTCCGAGATCTCTGGGGCGGAGGCCCCCCTCGGAGGGGAGACGGGCAACGCCACCGCCACGGACACCCCCACCTCCACCAGGGGTGCCGCCTCCAGGGAGGAGGAGGAGGAGGAGGAGGAGGAGGAGGAGGAGGAGGAGGAGGAGGAGGAGGAGGAGGAGGAGGAGGAGATGCTTCCCCTGGCTGAAGATCCAGTCGGGGCGCTGAACAACAAGCCCTTGTCGTTGGGGAGGGGCTCGGTGTTGCTTAATTTTGTTGCACAGTTTGCCTAACGTGTTCCTTGGGTGTTCGATGCGAAGCCGAAGTTTAACTCATGGGCCAAAAGGGCCTCGTTCCTTGTTTAAGGTTCCTTAGGTCAACGCCCCCGACTGTAACCAGGGATGCATCGAGCTGGGCAGATGGAACCACACCACCAGAAGGAGCCCCCATGGGCTCCTCGCGCTGGTCGCGGTGATGTCGCCTCTCCTTCGCTTTAATTAACCAGACATCCGACGAAGTGTCCCCAGGTCCAGAATATCGGTGTTTTTGTTCCCCATATCTCGAGTATGGGGATTATTGTTACGGGGACGCCTCTGGCTCCTCCTCCGCTGCCTCCTTCCCCCTACTCACACTCAGATTCGCTCATGCTCAGACTCACACACACAGATACACTCAGACTCGCTGACACTCAAACTCAACGCCCAGGCTCACTCAGATTCAGATACGCGCGTACTCATGTCTCAAACGCACATTCCGACTCACTTCTTATACCCAGATGTTCAAATGCTCAGAGGCGCCACGCTCAGATTGATTCAAATTCAGAATTACGCACACAGAACACACGCAGGTCCGCCCCAGACTCAACTTGGGCGGACGTCTCGAGCGAGGCGCTGGCTTCAGCCCGCCGCGAGGGACCGCCAGGGATGGTTGCATGGCCCAGTTCGCGCCCAGATTGAGGGGGTGTCTCAGGCTGTTCGGCTGATAGGTGGCTTGGACCTCGGTGTTCTCACACCCTGGAAGTTTCTTTATCCGGTGAGGGCGACGGTGAGATGCATGGCCAGCCCACGATTTGGAGTTCCACCGTCTTCCAGACCCTGGCTTCCTGATCTAATCGCTCCTTACCCTTAAGTCGTGCCTGTCCCTCTACGGGGGGAATGTTCAAAAACTGTTGGGCATGTTTGGGGTATGTTTTGCTTTTCGTCCAAAAGTCGAATGGTTCCTTACCCAGTGCCCTCACCGCACAAGGACGTCTCGAGCGAGGCGCTGGCCTCCGCACCCCGAGGGGGGGGGGGGAGCTGCCAGGGATGCTGGCTGCACGGTGCCGCTCGCGCCCCGATGTCGTGGGGACACGTCTCGGGCGGTGCTGGGCCGCTCGATGGCTCGGCCCTCGGTGCTCTCACGGAAGGTATTTGCGAGAACGTCTCGGCCGTCGTGCCGTCCCCTTCCTTGCCTTGCCCTTCGGGGAGTCAAGCACCTCGACTCCTCCTGCTCCTCCTCCTCCTCCTCCTCCTCCTCCTCCTCCTCCTGCTCCTCCTCCTCCTGCTTCTGCCTCCCCCCTCCCTCCTCGTCCCTCCCCTCCCCCCTCCCCCCTCCCTCCGCTTTTCAGGTCCACCGAGGCGGGCCGTCGGCAGCGCGACAAGAAACGAGAGAACGCCTCAGGAGCGGCGCCGGTTTCGGCACCTCGGACGGCGTGGTCGAGGGGATGTATCCAGCGAAACGCTCGGTGTTGCCCCCCCCGACTCCTGTCCGTTCAGAACACCATGCTCATTGCGAGGTAGGGAGGAGGACGTCCGCGAGGACGGAGAGGGGAGGACGGAGAGTGCGTGAGGAGGAGGACGCGGAGAGAGGGAGGGGAGAGGAGAGGAGGAGGAGAAGGGAGGGGGCACGTCGAGGAGTAAGGGGAAGGAAAGGGGAGGGGGCTTGCTTACCGCCTGTGTGTCAGCGAGTTGTCGTCATCGCTGTCCCTCATAGTAGCCGCCGCCGTCTTCGTCGTCGTACCCGTCGCCCACACGGACTCGTTTCCACACCCAGACACTTACGCCCAGACGCTCGCAGCGGGACGTGCCAGGAAATATGATGTACATGCGGGAATGCCAATTAATTATTACTGGGGGCGCTCCCGGCTCCTCCTCCGCCGTCGCATTATGTCTCCCCTCTTGCTTCCGCCTCCCCTTCCTTATTCACACTCAGGCTCAGTCACACTCAGACTCGCTCACACTCAGATTCACCCACACTCAGATTCACATGCTGACTCACTCATACTTAGACTCAACACTCAGGCGCACTCCATCTGCAGGGCGACCTTTTACAGGTAAACGCAAACTCAGGTACACACACCCAGACTCACTTCCAAAATTCTGAGGCCACGGCGCCCCACCGACTCCAGCTCCGGCAGTCTACCCTTGCAGTTAAGTCGGATTCAAAAACAGTGAGAAAGTAGACTGGGGACGATGTTTGATTATTTGTTGGCCATATCTGCATGTTTTTGGACTAGTTTAAATTCTTCGTCTTAAATTCGCCTGTAGGCGGACATGCCCAGTCAACCCGCATCGTTAGGATGAGCGGCTCTCAAAGGCGGCCCTGTGCACCCGTCCCCGTCGGCCCACCCTTGGCCGCTCTCGCTGGCCGCGCCCCGATCGCAAAGTGCCGCCACGACTTTCCAACGCAGTTTGTATCCTTTTTCGCGCGTCCTTACCCCCTGAGATCCGACGTAGCGAGAAACTGCAGCATCGTAGAAAATCACGCCCAGAGCCCCAGACCCCATCTTTCTGCTTCGTTTGTCGAGCCCCGTCGATCTGTGAGGGTCCTGTGGGGCCTGAAAAAAAACAATCACGAAAACGCCCACCTCTAAAAAGAACAAGCGCCAGGATCTCAGAGTTCTGCGGGTGGACTGCGCAGGGACAGGCACGGACGTCTACGCGCTGCAGGAGACGCACACCCCTTGGGCAAAGACATATTCCGTGGAACGCAACTTGCAGAAGGCGGGTTTCGCAAGCACCTTCCACCACCAACCCCGACCGAAAACAAAGCCAAGAGCCAAGAACAAGAAGAAGGAGAAACGACAAAGAAGAGCAAGAGAAGGCCAAGCTACACACGTAACGACAAGACCAAAAGACAACGCTGACGAAACGACAACCTACGACGGGAAACGTCTCGACCGTTGGGGTGGACAGCCAACGACCCCGAAGCATACCCGACCAATTACAGGGACGAAGCAGACCACGACCCGTTCGAAGGCACCAACGACCATTGGAGCGACGCTGGGCTAGGACGGCATACAATACAGGGCGTGGACGCAGGAGGACAGGAGTCGGCAAGATACGAGTCAGAACGGCCACTCGGGTGCTCCTTGAGCCCATGTGAGCACAAGTCGCCAATGGTTATTGCTAGACCCCTCAGGCGACAGATCAGCCTCGCGGGAGCTTGTTCCCGCGGGAGCCCACGTCGCCTAAGAGTTTCCCTGGACTCGCCCCTGAGTCAGAACGGCCGCGTGGGTGCTCCTCGAGCCCACGTGAGCACACGTCGCCACCTAGTGTTGCTGGACATCAAGCAGCTCGAAAGGATATGCCCCAGAACTCGCAAGATTGCGCACAACTGACGGACGAGACCCTATCTAGCGCCCATGGTGTCACAATCGCCTTGGACAATACTTGGGAAGTGGATGCACTACTTCAGCAAAAGGAGACGCAGCACCACGCCCCTGAATACATCAAGAAGAACGCGGCATACCGATCGGACCCGATGGGCCGATGGGAGCAGAGTGCCTGGGCAGCAAGTACCACCACGACATTGGAGCAATCGAGAAGTTCTACGACATGGCGTATAAAATGGCACCCTCGGGCAGAGCTACATTCTGCGGACGAGGCCAACCATACCACTTCGAGGAGCAACCCTTGCTTGAGCTTCGAAGGAGACATGGACTACATCAACACCATGAGCCCAACATCGCAGGCAAGCGTCTCGCTCGCGGAGGCCTTCCACCTGCAGGACCCACGGCGACGTCTACAGCACGACTCCACAGAGACCTTTGGAAGGCCAGATGGGAAAAGCTGGACATCATCCCGCTGGACACCCTGAAGGCATTGGCAGAGCAAGCGGGTCAAGAAGTGCAAATCAGGCAGATGAACATAGAGGACCAGCACAACAAGAAGCACCACCACAACACCAAGAAGTGCGAGAACACGGACGAGAGCTACGCTACTGCCGCCACCTTTGAAAGGCATGCCGTGCGGGGTGCTCGGGGCGCGAGCACCGAGGGCGCCGCACGGGGTGCTAAGGATCTCGGGGCCGGAGAGAGCGCACCGCGAAGGACACGCTCGACACCCGTGCTCCAAGCGCCTCCGCAAGACGCGATTGGAGGGGGGGTAGGCCCCAGGGCCTCGACCCCCAGCGCGCAGGGCAGCACTGCCAAAGCACACAGAGCCACATCGTCGAGCGGGACGCCACTGTCACAGGGCAAGATCCTGAAAAGAAGACAGGAGCGACCCGAAGAACCAACGCACGAAGTCATCGAACAACGGGAGACCGACTAGGGGAGTGCAGAAGAACGCAGGCGCTGGACGCAGCGCCTCCTAGCCGCAGACAGCGGTAAGAAGCCATACCTCGACAGCCCCCGCTAAGAGCAGCCGAAAGAACAAGAACCGATCAACCACGAGAACCAACTGCAAAGTCATCACAGACCAGATGAGCACAACGGCCAGCAGCTCCTCCACGAAGTACAGCTGGGCAAAAACGCCAAGAAGGGCGGTAATACGGACGAGGGCTACGCTACTGCCGCCGCCCTTGGAAGGCATGCCGTGCGGGGTGCTCGGGGCGCGAGCACCGAGGTCGCCGCACGGGGTGCTAAGGATCTCGGGGGCGGATCGTGGGCACCGCGAAGGAGGCCCTCGCCTGCAGTGCTCCACTCGCCTCCGCAAGACGCGTTTGGAGGGGAGGTGGGCCCCAGGGCCGCGACCCGCAGCTCGCGCGGCAGCACGGCCCAGGCACACAGAGCCACATCGTCGAGCGGGACACCGCCGTCGCAGGACATGGACTTGCAAAGAAGACAGAAGCGACCCGAAGAACCAGAGCACGAAGTCAACGTACAACGGAAGACCGACAAGGAAGAGAGTGCAGAAGAACGACGCAGACGCTGGACGCAGCGCCTCCTAGCCGCAGCCAGCGGCAAGGAGGCATACCTCGGCAGCCACCGCCAAGAGAAGCCGAAAGAACATGTTCGGAAGATCAACCACGAAAACCAACTGTATAGGCGCCAAAGACCAACCATATACGCACCACAACCAGCAGCATCACCAGGAAGCGCAGCTGGACCACAACAAGAAGGACGAGTACACGGACGAGGGCTACGCTATTGCCGCCGCCCTTGGAAGGCATGCCGTGCGGGGTGCTCGGGGTGCGAGCTCCGAGGGCGCCGCGCGGGGTGCTAAGGATCTCGGGAGCGGATCGTGGACAGCGCAGTGGAGGCCCTCGCCAGCAGTGCTCCAGTCGCCTCCGCACGACGCGGGTGGAGAGGAGGTGGTCCCCAGGGCCGCGACCTCCAGAGGCAGAGCCGCCACGAGTGAGTGGCACGAGATGAGGGCTGCCGCGCCAACGGCGGCGGAGATCGCGGCGCGCGAAGCGCCGCGCAGCTCGCGGGGAGCGAGATGCGAAATAGTCGAAAAGTACTCCTCCTCCGCCTCCGCCTCCTCCGCCTCCTCCGCCTCCGCCCCCCCCCCTCCTCCTCCTTGGAGATCGCGGGCGGGAGGAGGAGGAGGAGGAGGAGGAGGAGGAGGAGGAGGAGGAGGAGGAGGAGGAGGAGGAGGAGGAGGAGGAGGAGGAGAAGGGAGGAGGAGGAGAAGGAGAAAGGAGGAGAAGGAGAAATGAGGAGGAGGAGGAAGGAGGAGGGGAGGAGGAGGGAAGGATGATGAGGAGGAGATGAGGAGGGCCCCCACCGCCCAAGGCGCGAGCGCGGGCGCCGCCCCGGCCGCCGCGGGCGGCCGCGGCCGCCCCGGCGGAGGCCGAGGCCGCCCCGGAGGCCGCGCACCCCGGGCGCGGCGCGGCCTCCGGCGAGGCGCCCGCCGCCGCGGTCGCCGCCGCCTATTCGGCGGCCTCTGGCGGCCTCCGTCGATCGCTGGGGGCCTCCGCTGGGAGCCTCCTCCTTCCTCCTCCTCCTCCACCCTCCTCCTCCTCCTCCTCCTCCTCCTCCTTTCTCCTCCTCCTCCTCCTCCTCCTTTCTCCTCCTCCTCCTCCTCCTCCTTTCTCCTCCTCCTCCTCCTCCTCCTCCTCCTCCTCCATCCTCCTCCTCCTCCTCCTCCTCCTCCTCCTCCTCCCTCATCATTCCTCATCCTCCTCCTCCTCCCCCTCCTCCTCCTCCTCCTCCTCCTCCTCCTCCTCCTTCTTCTCCTCCTCCTCCTCCTCCTCCTCCTCCTCCTCCTTTTCTCCTCTCCTCCTTCTCCTCCTCCTCCTCCTCCTCATCCCTCATCCTTCCTCATCCTTCCTCCTCCTTTCTCCTCCTTCTCCTCCACCCTCCTCTTCCCCCTCGTCCTCCTCCTTCCTTCTTCTCTTCCTCCTCCTCCTCCTCCTCCTCCTCCTCCTCCTCCTCCTCCTCCTCCGCTTCTTTCATCCTGCTCCTCCTCATCCTCCCCCTTCTCCTTCCTCCTCCTCCTCCTCCTCCTCCTCCTCCTCCTCCTCCTCCTCCTCCTCCTCCTCCTCCCTCCTTCCCTCCTCCCAGGCCCCGACGGGCTCCCTCACTTCGCGTGGCTCATTGGAGAGGGCCCGTCGATCCTCATGAATGTCCTGCGCAAGCTGATGGCCGGCGAGTCGATGCCAGCCTGGTTCGGGGAGTGCATTGGGATCTTCCCTCCGAAGGACGTGACGGCGGACGAATTGGCTCCCGAGGCAGGCCCCCTCCGGAGGCGCCCTGGCGACACGCGCCCCTCAGGACTTAAGAACACCTCCAACGAAACGATCTCGGCACTCCTAAACGGGTGCATCCAGCCCTGGACTCGGGCCACGGGGGCGGGCAAGCAGAGGGTCGTCATTGCAGGACGCCAGATGCTCAGCAAAGTCGTGGAGTTGGATGGCCCTTCGCGGGCTGCCAGCTGGCGGTTCAGGGACAAGGGTGACTTCGAGCCGATGCTCCTCGCCTTTGACTTTGCGCAGGCCTTCCCGTCTGTGCGCCAGTCGTGGCTGCACTGCACCCTCTCGGTCTCCAAGTTCCCCGCCAGATTTCGGAAAGCCGTCGTCCAGTTCTACCTGTGCTCAATGGTGACGGGGGGAGCGAGTTGCCTCATGTTCTGGATCACCTCCGGCATTGTGCAGGGATGCCCGCTTTCGGGCTCGCTTCATGTTGCCGCCTCCAACCCTTTTTATCGGGACATGGAGGAAACCATCAGAGTCGGGGCCACGGGGCCCTTCGGGCCTGTGCGGACGCGGTCGGTGCAGTGATGATAACACCGAAGGGCTTGCGAAAGCTCGCCAGGATCTTGCGGGAAGCGCACCTGCTTGCTGGCCTGCTTTTAAAATTCCCGAAATGCAAGGCTGCGGGGCTCGGGGGACCTCCGTCTGCGGCTCGGGAGGGCAGCATTCGCCATCAGCTCGAGGCGGCCTGCTCCGACTGGGGCCAGTTTGGAATCGTAGGACACTTGAAGTACATCGGCTTTTGGATCGGCCCGACTAGCACTGTTGACATAGACTGGGCGGCGCCCATGTCCCAGGCGCGCCTTCGTGTGGGGCAGATTGCTGGGCAAGGTGCTTCTTCCGCTATGCATTTCCAGCTTTACGCCTCGAGGGCCTTCCTTGTCGCCTCCTACGTTTCCCAGCTCATCCCCATGAGCTGGCAGCGCGCCTCCGAGGAACGACATTGGTCCGCCCAGCTCTGAAGTACCTCCAGTTCGGTGGCGAGGCACGCAGATTGGTTTCATCTGGCTTCGGTTGGAGGCCCAGCGGTCCATTCTTTATTTTCCACGGCTGCCGCCGCCATGATGCGCACAGCGCTCGTGCCTACCGCGGTCTGGCGGCCGTTGCTGGTCCGGATCCGCGAGGCCTCTATCGTGGCCCCGGCGACGGGCGACTTTCTTGCCCCGCAATTCTGGAGGATGCCTTGCATCGCGGTGTCACTCGAAAAGGCCGCGTCGGGCTTCCCCGAGGACCCAAAACTGCGGGCGGGGGGGCGGCAGGCTCTTGGACGGTGGCGTTTGGGGTCCACGGAGGTTCGCCCGAAGTGGCAGCGGGTCTTCGAAACTTCGATTGCCGAGCACGTGTTCCAAAATGACCTGCAGGACCTCGTCCGGAGGAGGGTGGTCAAGTGGTATGGGTGGACTTTTCGGGCTGGGGGGGTGGTTTGGGACGATTTGACCACTTCCCTCCGGACTCAGCCCCCCAGCTGGGGGGTCTCGGCAGCCTTGAAGACATGGCTTGGGGGATGGACGACAACACTCGTATGCAACGGCATGCGCGGTGCCTCCTAGGGTGCGATTGTCCAGATAATCTGCGCCACTATCTGCTCTCATGCCAGCCGCTGTCTGAATTGGTCGCCCTTGCCACCCGCCAGACCCCGCCAGCGGATTGGCTGCGTCGTCTCGGCCTTGTGGGGGAGGTCTCCGGTGTTGCGTCGGTTTCTTCCATGGGTACCGCCTGCTTGCGTTCCTTGCCCGCTCTGCGTCCCGCGCTCTCAAACCCAGGGAAGCCCGTGGACAGGTACAGGCGATAGCTCTGGCCATGCGGATCCCGAGGAGGCAGCGGCATCGGTTGTCGCCAGTGGTCTGACGTGGACTTTCCCGCACGCTGTGCCTCCCTCCTCCCCTCCTCCTTCATTATCCTCCGTCCTCCCTCCTCCCTCCTCCTCCTCCTCCTCCTCCTCCTCCTCCTCCTCCTCCTCATCATCATCATCATCCTCGTCCCTCCTTGTGAAATAAATAGTGTCAGTGCTGATATGTAAGCAGTGTAGCATAGCATGCCAGCAAGCATATGCTCTTTCGTAACTATTTGGGTTCAATCCTTTAAGGGCCCTTGAGCTTGGGCGTATCGGTAGACACCTCGCAGGTGCCGCTAAGCAACATCAATCGCCTTTCATTGCTGCTATCTTCGCAGATACTTTTACGTCATTGCTGACAATAACAACCTCGCGGTTATCATCGCATTCAGACCCCTCACGCAGTATTGGGTCTGCATTGGTAGCAGGAGCTAACTCGACCACGGCAGCTACGTGCGCGACTTCGCAGAGTCATTTAGCAAGCACTACAGGCTCGTGTCATTGCGACTGTACCTCTCATTCGGGGTCGCCATCATGGCGACAGGAGGAGCCGCTGCAGCCAGCGGCGAGGACAAGAGCAACGGGGGCAAGATCCCCGTACCCGTCTTCGATGGCACGAGCAAGACCATGAAGAAGTACCGCCGAGAGGTCGCCACCTGGCAAATCGGCACCGAGGTCAAGCCGCCCAAGCAGGGAGCGACCTTGCTGGCCAGCCTCAAGGGCAAGGCCGAGGAGGCGTGCGAGGAGCTCGACCTGGACGCCATCAAGGGTGAGGACTCGGTGGAGGTGTTCCTGGAGTACCTCGGGAAGCGCTTTCCCGAGATCGAAGTGCTGGGGACCCCAGCGCTGCTGGAGACCTTCGTGCGCCCGGCCTGCGTCCGGCACAAGTACGAGGAGATCCGCGACTACAACAACCGCTTCAATGGGATCGCCACCAAGCTGAAGGCCAAGGGCATCCAAGTGCCCGACGAGGTCTTGGTGGACCCGTACATCAAGGGGGCCCGCCTGCCCCCGGAGCGCGCGGCGAGCGTGCCCAACGGTGTGGGCAACCAGTTCAACCCCACCAAGATCCAGGAGCAGTTGATGATCAACTTGCCCAAGGTATCTGTCGTGGACGGCAGCAAGGACAGCCACGACAAAGGAGGCTACGGAGGTCACAAGAACAAGGACCACAAGCGGGCGTACGCCACGGAGACCTACGAGGAGGATCGTAGGGCCGAGCTCGACGGCGCGTCCTCAGACAGCTCCGACGACTACGAGGACGAGCTTCCCGACGAGCTGCAGGACGTGATCGACGAGGCGGAGGAGCAGGTAGCGTTCTTCACCAAGAAGATGGTGCGCGCCAAGGACAAGCTGAAGGAGGCGAAGCAGGCGCGTGGCTACTTTGCCAAGCGCGACGGCGGCAACCCGCCGAAGAGAGACGATCCCAAGATCGCCAAGATGAAGGCCAGGACACACTGCGGCGCATGCGGCCAGAAGGGCCATTGGCGCGGTGACCCGCAGTGCTCGAAGAAGAACGACCCTAACGCCAAGGCCGACATCCCGAAGAAGGGAAGCAACAGGACGAACATCGCCACGCACGAGACCAGCGACGCGCAGGAGCCTCACGTGGCGGAGAGGACAGTCGCGGCGGTCCACCAGCAAGACCAGCGGGCCGCGGCTCGCGACAGGAAGTACGGCGCGCTGCACAGCATCGACTGGACGCAGATCCGCCAGGCCGCCGAGCTACCCGAAGAAGTTACGGCGGCGGCGTTCTTCATCAATAAGGACCACCAGTGCCTGATGGCCGCGACGAGCTCGGCGCTGATCTACCTCAGCGTCGAGGACCTGCTGAAGGAGTCGGGGGGCAAGCTGACCTTCGACACGGCCTGCACTCGGTGCGTCGGCGACCTCGACTGGTACAGCGACATCAAGAAGAGGCTGGCCGCCTTCAACATCCAGCCCATCGAGTACCCCGAGAAGGAGCCGTTCCGGTTCGGGGCGTCGAAGGTGGTGTTCAGCCTCAAGGCGGCGCTGATCCCCTGTTCGGTGAACGGCAAGGCCTTCACCGTCCGCATGAGCATCGCGCGCAGCGCCGTGCCAGGACTGTTCAGCCGCAAGGCCCAGAGCGAGCTGGACATAGTCTACCACGCCGGAGACAACAAGCTGGACATCAAGTCGATCGACGAGCACAACGTCCAGATGGGCCTGAGCCGCGCCGGACACCCGACGCTGGACATCACAGGCTTCACGCCGGACTATAAGCCCGTTTTGGACGTCTCGGATACCAAGGCCGAGATTCGTTTTCATCCATGCGTTTCTTACCATGCTGAGACAGCTGTGGCCAGCGCCGCCAAGCCGGTGGTGCCCGAGGCTCGCCACCCAGGAGTTACCTCGGAGGCCGACGAGTCTCCGTCGGATACTGACTGCAATGCGCTCGATAGCGCCGAACTGTTCGAGCAGCAGGTGCGCCAGGCCTTGGGCGCATACATTCCATCGAGTCAACCGTCATCGGGATAGGAAGACGAGGCCTGGGGAGTGTGTACTAGGTCAGTCAGCACATCACAGATTATGCAGACAAACCACGATCATGACGAACGGGGAGCTAAACCTCGCAGCGATACTCAGTCACGGCATGTTCGATTTCAGCAGCAAGCAAGCCGTAGCGAGCCACGAGATCAGCCATCAGCACGCAGTCGTCAAACTACATCATCACCGCAGCCATCCGGCTCGAGTTCAACGGTGGCTCCACCAGCGAGTACGACGCGTGCCGTGGCAGATCCAGCCACCGCAGCTTTTCACGAACCAGCGGCCGGCGCTTATGCCCCCGTCGCACCAGCGATGCACGACATCTCCCAAGGAGACGAGCCCGGGGGGCAGCGGCCAGAACTTGCCGACGACGAGTACTGCCCGTCTTCCGGCGATATCCAGCATGCGGATGCCGGAGCTGCAGGCCGAGGTGGCAAGCTACGACTTGGATGTGCGCGACGCCACGTGCGACCAGCTCCGGGTGATCTTGCGTGCGCTGAGGGCCGAGGGCCGCGAGAGCACGCCGCAGGACGACTACATCCCGGGGCTCGGCAAGAAGAACAAGGAGGAGCTCCAGCAGCTGCGTCGGGACCGCCAGATCGAGTTCGACCAGCGCACGCCCGTGCCGGAGCTCAGGCAGCGCCTCAAGGGCTGGAAGGTCGAGGACGCGGTCAGCAGTGCCGCGGCGACGGTGGCTCATCCGAGCTCACAGATCACCGGGGCCGACAAGATGCGCTTTGGCAAGTACCCCACGGCGGACTACCGCTGGGTGCTCAAGAACGACCTGGGCCACGCGCAGTGGGCGGTCCTGGAGCTCAAGAACAATCGGGCAAGCCCACTCCTGGCGCGATTTGCCAGGTGGGTAAAGGCGCACGGAGTGCAGCCCCTTCCCCCGGAGAAGGCCAAGACCACCTTGGAGGCAGTGATGGCCGAGGAGGTGGTGCTGGACGACGAATGGGTGGCGCCAGCGGCTACGACTACGAGGGCCTCGAAGCCAGGGGAGCTGGGCCGGGCATCGGCGCCGGCGACCTCCGGAGCCGCACGAGATGGACACAAGCGACATGGGCTTCGAGAAGGCGGGCGAGACCGACAAGGAGGATCGCCCGAGCGGCTCCCGGGAACCTCAGCAGAGCAGGGACTTGGCGGCGGTGGCCGCCAGGACGGGTCGCCAGCCCCGAGGCGGCGGTCAGGCATCAAGAAGGGCAAGCGCGTCGGCCTCCTCTACCAGGTCACGGGCTTGCTGAGCGCCTTCGCCTTTCAGACGGTGCTCACCGCGGACTGGCCGGCTAGACCTCTCAAGCCCGTGGTGCAGCATGCTACCAGTGCTGCGCGAGACGTGGTCGACCACGTCCAGGACGTCAAGGAGGCCTACAGCGTTCGCAGCCACCGCGTGGACGTAATGCAGGTGTTCGGAGGCGAAGGCGGCATCACCGAGGCGGCGTGGAAGCGCCGGATGACGGCCACAGAGGTGATCGACCGCAAATACGGATGGGACTTACGAAAGCAGAAGGACCTCGACGCGACGTACGACCTGCACAGCGCCTCAAGGCCGAAGTTCGTGTCAATCGAGCTACCCTGCACCCACTACACGAACATCACGCACCTCAAATTTCGGACGCCGCAGGCCAGGCAGGCGCTCCGACGGATCTGGAGGACGGAGCGGCCGTTCCTTTTATTGGCCCGCGACCTCTTCAAGTACCAGCTCGACTCTGGCGACATGGCCATGATCGAGAACCCGGCCACCAGCCGGCTCTGGACACAGCGCGCGATTTTGGAGATACTGGCAGATGAGCGCGCGCACCAGGTGAGGTGCGACATGTGCGAGTACGGAGCTCGACACTACAAGACGGGGGGGGCTCATCAAGCACCCCGCGAGGCTGCTCGTTACCCACAAGGAGTTCGAGCAGCTGAAGCGCACCTGCAGCCACAAGCACCACGACCAGACCTTTGGGGACAACGTGGCGGTGCGCAAGTCTGGCGTTTATCCCGCTAAGTTCTGCAGAGCGGCGGTGCGCATTGTGGGGCAGGCGATTCGCCAGCAAGGAGGGCATCGCGCCTACCAGGTGGACTGCCAGTCGCACTCGTCGCCCTTCATCGTGACAGTGCCCAGGGAGCAGGCCACCGCCTACGTAAACGACACCGCGCCCCTGGGAGAGACGGGCGAGCCTGATGGGGACCCAGACCCCATGGGCGGCGGAGACGACTTCGCCGACACTCACGACGTGCGGTCCGAAGATACTGTGGACGGCAGGATCGGTGTCGGCGCGATTACTTTCACAAAGAAAGCAGCGGCCTGCTGCAAGCCAGCCGAGCTGGCCATGCTCAAGAGACGCCACGTCAACTTGGGCCATCCGTCCAATGAAGATTTGGGCCGCAGTTTGCGCCTCAAAGGCGCTGAGTCGGCCACCGTCCAGGCCGTCAAGGGGCTGATCTGCGGGGTGTGCCGCTCGCAGCAGCGCCGGAGCGCGAGGAGACCAGCGCACCTCCACTTCGTGCAAGATTTTTGAGACGACGTCGGCTTCGACTGCTTCGAGCTCAAGGACGTCGACGGCAAGAGCTATTGGTATTTCAGCATCGTCGACCTGGCCACCACCTTCCATGTCGCGACGCTGATCGATCGCCACACCAGCCAGGAGTTCGCTGCCGCGTTCGAGAGGTGCTGGGCCTCCTGGGCGGGCGTGCCCGACCGAGTTCACTTCGACATGGAGAAGGGGTTCGGCGGCGCCCTCAGCGAGCTGTTCCAGTCATTCAACACGGTGCAGCTGCCCATCGCTGGTCAGGCACATTGGCAGCTCGGTCGCGTGGAACGCCAGGGAGCTTGGTGGAAGGAGCTCGCGGCGAGGACGATCGAGCACTCGTCGATCAGGGGCGAGGACGAGATGCGGACGCTGGCCATCATGGTATCGGGCGCGAAGAACTCGCTGAGAAGGCGAGCAGGCTTCAGCCCCGCGCAGTGGGTGCTGGGACGCGACCCCAAGATGCCTGGAGACCTAGTCGACGACACGGCCAACTACAGCGCCCACAGCCTCGCGGCCAACGACGAGAAGATTCGCCGCCGATATGCCATTCGGACGGCGGCGCGCGAGTCGTTCATGAGGATGCAGAACGACGACCAGCTCCGGCGAGCTATGCTGGCTCGCGCGCGCACGGTGGCGACGCCCTTGTCAGTGGGCGAGATGTGCTACGTCTTTCGCCAGGCCAAGAAGAAGGAGCAGCGGGAGCAGCACAACCGCAACGCCAAGAAGGGCATCTGGCGAGGGCCGTGCGTAGTCATCGGCCACCAAGGCGAGAACACCTGGGTCTCGCTAGGAGGGCACACCATGCTGGTGGCCCCGGAGCACATCAAGGCACTCGCTCCGGACGACGTCTGGTTCCCGAACGGCAGGGGCAAGATCGGTCAGGCCGTGGCCGAGCTCAACCAGGCTCGCGACTCGCTCGAACAAGAAGAGGCTCAGGTGGTGGACATCCGCCCGGCGCCTGGCGAGCCCGAGGTCAAGCCAGACGAGATGGAGCAGGCGTGGCGGGAATTCATCGACAACCCGGACGACAGCGACCTCAAGCTGAACGTCTCCGAGGATCCGCCCCAGCAGGAGCAGATCCAGGTGCGGCCCGCCGACGTGCCGCAACAAGCTGAAGAAGAGCGAACCTACGGCCCTGACGAGTTCCGACGACGTCGAGCTACCTTCGACGGAGGGGACAGCGGCGACTTCGGCCCGGCCTTCAAGCGACTCCAGACCGAGAGGGAGCACGCAGGCTCTGGCGCCCTGCCCGCAAGGGCAACTTCGCGGGACCGCGCGGCGGCCCCCGATCAGGAGGCAGCGGCCGGACCCGAAGCAGGAGGAGCCCGCCAACGTTCGAGGCCGGCTCCAAGACAAGTATTGCAAACCTCCTGACCGAGAGGTCCAAGCGCAAGCAGGCCGACAAGGAGATCCACTGGAGGGCCATCAAGGACTCTGATCGGGAGCTCTTCAGGGAGGCGGCCGCCAAGCAGTGGAGCGAGTGGCAAAAGTATGGCTCTTGTCAGGTACTCTCCATCGAGGAGTCCGAGGCGATCAGGGGCATGATCAAGCCCAGCCTCATCCTGCCCAGCCGGTTCGTGTACCGGGACAAGAACGCCCCGCTGCGGACCGACAAGCATCCGCTGCCGGTCAAGGCAAAGGCACGACTCTGCGTCGGGGGTCACATGGACCCGCGCCTCGCTCAGGGCGACCTGCGGACGGACGCACCCACGGTCACCCGCAACTCGACCATGCTGTTCTTCACCATCTGCCAGAGGTTCGACCTGGAGATCTACGCGGCGGACGTGGAGGCGGCTTTCATGCAAGGCGAAGAGCAGCCCGACCAGCAGCTGCACGTGGCCCAGCCTCGCGAAGGTTTGCCTGGGCTGAACCCGAAGCAGCTGATCAAAATCCTCAAGGGAGTTTTCGGGCTGGCCACGGCACCGAGACAATGGTGGGCGAAGCTCAAGAGGACATTGCTGGCGGTGGAGGAGAAGCTGAGCGACAACTGCGTGTTTCGCCTACACCAGCACTCGCTAGACCCAGCGCTGTACTACGGCTACGACCAGCACGGTGAGCTCTGTGCGGTGGTGGTCGCCCACGTGGACGACTTGCTGCTGGGGATCTCGCACAAGTACCCGGGCCTCTACGACAGGCTTCACAAGTTTTTGCCCTGGGGCGACTGGCGAGGCTTGCCTTCTACCTTTTGCGGCAGGCAGGCCTGGCGAGATCAAGAGGAAGCACTACATCTACGACAGACCGAGCACGCGAACACCATCGAGGAGATTCCGCTCAGCAAGGAGCGCAAGACGGACCTGTCGTCAGATGCTACGCCAGCCGAGTTCTCGGACAACCGCTCCGCACTCGGAGCGCTCGGGTGGCTTTCATCGCAGACTCGTCCCGACCTGGCAGCTGGAGTGGCCACGGGGCAGCGGACCCAGAACAAGCCCACCATCCAGGACTTGCTCGAGACGAACAGGCTCATCAAGTTGGCGCGGAAGCACGCGGACGTGGGTTTGGAGTTCCCTAAGTTACGTGGACCTCTGTGCCTGGTGACGTACCACGACGCCAGTTGGGCCAACGCTGACGAGCCAGCTGAAGGCGCCATCTCCAAGTTGCTCGCCAAGACCGCGGGGGCAACCAGTAAGGACAAGAAGATCAAGATTCGCTCGCAGGCTGGCTACGTGAGTTTTCTCGCAGAAGCCAAGCTACTACGCGGAGATCGAGCTCGAGCAGGAATTGTTGATTGGAGATCGGGCACCATCAAGAGAGTTTGCAGATCTACGTTGGCAGCCGAAACGATGTCGGCAGTAGACGCTCTAGGCTGTGCTCGGATTACACGCTGTGTTTTCGCTTCGCTAGAGACTCTGGATGCCCATCCAGAGGACATCCCGCCGAGTCTGTTGCCGCTCGCTCAGGTCACAGATTGCGCCAGCTTGTACGACACGATGCATAAAGACGGTTATTCCAAGCTCCCGTCAGAGCGGCGCCTTTTGCTCGACCTAGTGGGCCTCAAGAAATCACTAGAAGAGGAAGTTAGCAACGAGTTTATCGCTAACGATCAGCGCAGCCAACTACCCCTCTTTTGGGTTCCGACTGATCAGCAGCTCGGTGATCAGTTCACCAAGCGATCGGACGGCAGTGCCATCAGGGCAGCGCTGCGAGACACACGTCTCGCTTTGCAGCATCAAGAGCCGACGGACCAGGCCAGAGAGCACGAGGCACACCTGACCAGTGCCGGCTCACTTTTCAAGCGCGCAGTGCGCCTGGTTTCGTTTTAGCTCGTTGACGTGCCATCACCACGTCTAAATGCGCTATATCGGCAGATGCACAGATCAGAAGAATTCTGCACGAGTGTGAAATAAATAGTGTCAGTGCTGATCTGTAAGCAGTGTAGCATAGCATGCCAGCAAGCATATGCTCTTTCGTAACTATTTGGGCTCAATCCTTTTTAAGGGCCCTTGAGCTTGGGCGTATCGGTAGACACCTCGCAGG